TTTCTAAAATGTTATACAGATTTTAGGTCTACTGCTATAGATTGTGCTGTCTTTCTTCTCCCCAGGCTCCTTTTTTTTTCCTCCCCTTCATGAAAATAAACCTAGAAAAAGTCACTTTCAGTACTGTCCATAGCAGGATTTATCCCTGGGGTCGCACTGTGCCTTATTTGCAGCAAGTGACATACTGGTTCAGGAGGCCCACGCACACTTACTTGGGAGATAACAGATGCTAATTCCAGCCCTGCAACACTTTGGGCAGCTTGTCACCTTGGAAAGCCACTTCAATACATACCATTTATATCCTGGTTAAGAGGACAACAAAACGCCCAGAGTAAGGACTACCTGAATGTGTACTCACACAATACCTGGAGCAACACGGATGCAGAGTAGGCCCAGGAACACAGATCTGCAGCAAAGGTACTATTTTAAGCAGCTTTATTAAACACGAAGAGCAGTCACAGAATGCTGCAGTACAAGAGCTACCCGAGGCAGACACTCACAGATATTAATCAGATTTAATTTTGTAAGTAAAAGTCTTAAACCATATTTACATTTCTGTGTGCTGATCAAGCTTAATGGGGCCTGAAAAAAAAGTACAGACACTCTAATGCAGCACTTCTTCCAGGCTGATATATCCTGCTCCTCAAAAAGGTAACATTAAAACGGCTATGCCGGTTTTGGCACCCTGTCACTTGCTGCACGCCATGCAAGCTCTGGCTGAGTTTTGCTTCCAGGTCTGCCCAGTGCCCCTTTGAAGCTGGTTGACCACCCACCCACAGCTTTCCCTTCCTCAACCTCAGACCCTCTCTGCCCACCAGGCACCCTTCAATGGAATTTCCTGCAACTCTTGCCAGTAGCTCTGCACTGCCTTAAAGTCCTCTCAGACATCTGTAAAATGAAAGAGATGGAAAACATAAGTAGCACCAACCAGCATGACGGATGTCAAAGTTACCAAAGGCAGGGAAAACATACCTTTAGTAGCACTTGCCAAGTTGAAACAAAGCAACTTCAAACAGCATTACAATCCATGGAATTCAACTGGCCAGAGAAAGCCATGAGATACGCCGAAACGTATCTTGAAGTGATTTAACTGATCTGCTAATATCAAACACACCTATGTATATGCAAAACCCTTCAATATGAATGAAAAACAACCCACAAGAGTGGGTATCAGCTGCCTCATTAACAATCTCACTTTGAAGATCAATTTTAAGCTTCAGGGTAAATCAAAGCTTTTAGATCACCTTTCCATAAACTTTAATTTACACCTGTGAAGATGCAGGTAGGCAAGACTGGGGCAGCGTTTTTTTTCCACAGAAGCCGCTGATGGTGTATTAAGTAGATACAGAAAAAGCATGCATGTCTTCCCATTAGTCTCCCTCATAACACAAGGAGGATGGTTACTCTTCTCACCCACTTTTTCAAGTTCCTGAATTCTAGCACTTATCTACAAAGGACATTCAAACGCAGCAAAAGGAGGAGAATACTAGCATACAGAAAGCAAAGCAATTTACACACTTTCTTTTACTGTTCAAACTCAACTTGCAATATGTTTATATGTGATACTTTATATCTGGGATGCACAGTTCTTTCATAAGAGAGTAAATTTTTAATGCACAAAGTATTAAGTAATCAGCTATTAAATGAAATGAGACTTAAATCTTCACTGGCACTTAAAGGTTGAAGTATCTATTTAAATTAAGTATTTTGTGAGTATCCTCTTTAATAATCACAGTGAGAAATAATACCCGATTTGGCTGTATGCCAAACAGATGTAGCTTGAATAATACAAACTGCTAGACAAATGTATATATCTTGTCAGAGCTCAAAAGTCAAAACACCTGAAGGAATTTTCTTTTTAAAAATCTCTGATACCAGCAAAATCAGCACACACTGCTATATAGCTACTGTTATTAGAGAATTAGCAATGTAACTTGACAGAGTCCGCCGTCCAAATGATGTTTTTCAGGTGATCAGACCCACAGACATAAAACCTTTTTTGCAATAGGTGCCTCAAAACTACTTTCCCCACGCTTTCCTTCATCAGGCTGAAATAAAAATGCATTGAACTAAGGGAAAACGGGAGACTAAACTTTGGGTTGAAATGCATCAAAACAGGGAGACAGCAAAGAAGGAAGCAAAAGCTGAAATTAATTTGTGTCTCGAGTCACCACAAAACATCAGGTACCTCACATTCAGGGCTTTCACTACTTCAAAAGCTACAACATGAAGAAAATACAGCAAAGTACACGTTATCCAACTCGTCCAACCATAGGTTTTACCACAGGCAGAGCTTCAATTATGCCCTCTATTTGAGCTCCAAAGGGGAATGTGAAGATAAACATCGTTACCGTTGCAGAATTAGAAGGAAGTAAATGACACAGAAAGAAAGATGGACCAAAAGGGAAAAGCGGTAACGGCACACTAGGTAGAGAAAGGTATCGGTTGGAACCAGGACTGGAGTTGATAGAAACAAGCTCTCGTACTTGAACACTTGGTGCCTGCAAAGGTAATCATCTACTCTTGCGTGTGTGTGGACATGTACATCCATGTAAACACTTTTTCTTCTTTCAAAGCTAATGCTGATGCAAACAGATTAAAGAGTAGCCAGAGAGTGCTTCTGCTGACTGATTAAATGCTTTCATCAGCTAGATCAGTGGGTCTTAAAATAACAGGCCACTTTCTGTATAACTTAAGTAATTACAAATAAAATGCAGCACCCAGCTTCAGAACACTTCAGTCATCCTGCAAGGAACTAACACTGTCCCTCCAGAACAGGCATCTGCTTCAGCATTTTCATACACAGTTTCAGAAGCAGCATTTGGCTCATGCAGTGATAAACCAGCCTTAGGATTTAAAATACACCAACCCTCCCTCCCTTTGTCATAGAAAGTGCTACCCTGGTCTTGTATATCCCCAGAAGCTGAACATGAACTTTGCTGACTTTGGTTCATCTGTTAACCGAGAACCCTCTGAACAGTGTGGAGCATAGCCAGGTGTTTGATTAGACAGTCAAACACATGATTTTATAAACTGGGTAAGTAACAGGCAAAATTTAACAAAGAATTGTTCCAAGTTAGATAACTCCTCAAAGGGAAAACTGGGAGCCCATTAAAATCCCCACATCAGAGAAGACAGACACCAAGTTTGTTTGGTTTTGTTTCTGAATATAGTTGTTTACACTAACAGCAAAACGCATTTTCATGAAGTTGTGCCCTAGTAAGTCATAGGGAGTTTTGCCATCATCTTCAGACTTTTATCCCTGTCCACAGCAACCTAGAAGGATCTGTATCATTAAAGAACCAACGTGCAACCTCAGAGATGCTCCAAGGCAATAGACTATGTATATGTAAATACTCAAATGGGCACAAGTGGAAGTTGGGTTGGGAGGCAGATCAGAACCACCAACTAGCTTGGAATTTTGATTCTTTGCCCAGAACATCACTTTCTAAAAATAAAAATAAAATTCCCTTCTATACTTTCAGTCAGGGAAAGCAGAAAGACAGAACAGAGGAGCTATACAAATTTGGCAGGCCTGGATTTACAGAGCTCCTTTTGTAAAGGATGTGTTCGAAGAGATAAGAGACAAGACATGATGCTTGTTGGACATGGTCCAAACAACACAGCAGAAAAGTGCAAAATACCCTTCAAAAACCCACACAAGCTATTTTTGTTTGGGAGTAGGAGAGTTTTAGTCGTTCTGGTATCTGAATGCAAGTTCTATAAGCCTGCCAGCACAGCACAGCCAGAAAACAAGTCTGAAGGATTCTGGTAGGGTTTACTTTGTTTTCCCTTTGGGGGAGGGAAAAGAAACAGAAGAGAGCATGCTTGAAGGAAAGACACGTTAGAAATCCAAGTTAAGTTCTGCCTTGGGTCTCATCCTTAGTTTATTCCACTTTCTGAAGTGTTTATTATTTTACATGAGTAGATTTCCCATAATTTACGGAAGGTATGCATGTAATGAGGAACTTCTTATCAGAATGTAAATATTAGCTTTAAAAAGGAAAAAAATATTGTTCCCTCTTGTCATTCTATGGCTTGATACTTGCTCCAGCAGCTGCTACTACTCCTGTTAGCCAGAAATGGAGGGAAGCGGAACTCTGGCTGAGCTTGCACACTGCTAATGGAAATGCACACTCTCCATCTTGGCAGTATTACTTTTTTTTTTTTTTGCTCTCCAAGTCAAATGCTAAGGATACATTAGAACTTCAAAAAAATGTTACAAAACCTCTAAGGTTAGATGTGACCAAAAGCCACCCACTCAGCAGTGAGAATGTACTTTGCTCTTCAGGGACAGAGCCCAGGGACACAGTGACCATGGGGAATGCCCTACCGCTGCAGGGACATCTGCATGGGACGCCTTGGTCACTGGGCATCCAACACCAGAGAAGCAGCTGTTCGTTTCCTTCCAACTCAGCAGCCTGGAAGGATTGCCAGCTGCACTGCTTTGGCCTCCATACTCACCCACAATCTTAGACTGTTACCCAGAGAAGCTCACAGCCCGGGAAAATGAATTTTGACCAGTAATGTCAGACTTAAAGAAGAGGAAGAACAAGCAAAGACTTTCCTCAAAGATGCAAGTACAGGCTACTTGTAGCACCCACTGGTATCAGCTCTATCTTCAGCAACCCGACGCTTATTTATACCAGCTGAATATCAAGACTTTTACGTTTCCTTAAGGTACAGAACCATCAGTGAATACAAATTTCAGTACATCTTGCTTTCTAAAATATTATTCATCAACATACAATTCAAATGGTAATTAAGAACTGTTCACATGATTGATGACACATTTAAATTACAGGTTTCCAGCTTTTTTTTTTTCAGTAAAGAAAAGACTACTTCCTTTTTCACGTGCTGCTTTTTCAAAGTGCAAGTCCATCTAACAGATGTCTCACAGATCTGCTTGTCAATGTAACAACTTAGACTTTTTTTTATTATGACAAATGGTATAAACCACACAGCATTCTGTTAAACTCAATATTGACACATCTGCTTACCACGTGTATTAGTAGCCATGTCAGCCACTTTCTGAAAGGCATCCAAAAAGGCAGCAGCTGCTACTACTGTAGTCCTGAAATGCATACAGATAACAAAACATTAGCAGTGTCTCATTGCTGCCTATTTAATTATTGCCAAAAACATTTAGGCTTATAGAGAATACCACTGTGAACTTGCAGAGGCCACCAAAAAAATATCCTCTTTTATATCTGAATTTAGCCTTTTCCCTCCTTCATTTCTTAATCCCTTCCTCGCTTTGTGTTAGCACTATGGACTTGGAGGCAGCCACGCTAATTCTGTGCTGTGAATTGCACAGGACAGGTGCTATTTCAAAAGAGCACAGCCATCCCCCTTCTAGCTGATTTCCTCTGATGAACTAATATTAAGCAGTCAAACATGAAAAACAAATCTAACGCACATTATACTGCACCCATTAGTGTACAAATTACAGCCACTGCTATTTTCCAGGGAACATGTATATTTTAAGAATAAGCATGCAGGACCTTCCTTTTATCTAGGATCCTGGCCAAACACTGCCCTGAATTTCTCATCTGAGGAGCATGAGCATCCCTTGAAATAGAAAATAGCAACTTCTTGGAAATCAGACTGGTCTGGAGTTCTTGGGCAAATAGAAAAGCGGGTAAAAAAAATAAATCTCCGTTTCAAGGAGAAAAAAAAAAGGGCCCACCAAATAAACAAAACAAACAAAACCCCTTTTGGATCCAGTGCTCCTCCAAGTAGGTCCCTTCCCAGAGACTCCACAATCTGAAGTGTCAACCCCACAAGGCCCACGTCCCTCCAGGTTTGGAAAGCACATACAGACCAGACCACACGTCTGTTCAAGTGGACAGCAAACGTGAGTTACAATTTTCCAAACACGATTGCTCTACATAAGCAGGCCCTAGAGCCCTAAACACCTCGGGTCGGTACAAGATTTCTGATGGTTTATAGGCCGGTTGACCCAATTTAAGTGAAAGTAGGCCAGGGCTCTGCAGGTAAAGTGCAACTGTGCCCTCTCCACAGTTACCTCGTGGTTCTGTGTCTGCCCATCTTTTCTAACTCTGATTTCCTCTCCTGATGGTAACAGTCAGCCTCTCCAAGCAAAATCCTGAAGGAGGACCATCAACATCACTTTGTTTCAATAGCTCCTTGCTACCCTCAAAAAAACCCACCAGGAGACCTGCAGGAAAGCTGATCCTTGGCCAAAAAGACCACAGGACTGTTTAATTAGGTCAGATTTTATGCAAGTCTCACTCCAAACATGCTCAAGATACAGAGGACATAACTGGCAGCGTAGTCAATGGCCTACTGACAGCACAAAAGATTTGAACACAAAAAAAACCCAGGCTTGAGAGGACCAACCAAATACATAAGGACTCTCCACATGCCCAGGAGATTAAAGGGAGGGCAAACCCCCCTGACAGCTAGCTAGCAACACTGAGCCCTGGAACCAAATAACCTTTTCTTTGGCATTTTCCTTAACAGCGTTTGTGTTCATCTTCCGAACTTGTGGATCATGCTGTTATTTGTGTACCATGTTGTTAATTATTAATAATATTGCTAATAACAAAGTTCCATTTCTTCAGTAACAAGATCCAGGAAGACCTGGCTCCAGCTCAGATGACATCTGCTGTCCTTTATCACAGCACACAGAAATGAACCAAAGGCAAAAGGCTCACAGTTACTAGAAATGAACAGCAAATCCTCCAACACAGCCTTTCAAGCTGCCTGCTTGCACGTTCCTGTAGCTAGAAAAGCACTACATTGATTGAATCCAACACCACAGGACTGGGAAATAAACAGAACTATCCCTCATGCATTCCCAGAAAGCCTGTGTTTAAAGAGTACAAAGGGCTAGGAAAGTTCTCCATTTCTCTTCTTTCTCTACTTCCTCTGCTTCTTCCACACTCACTCAGTGTGGCACAATTGCTGGAAAAGGAAAAACCACATGCAAGTGTGATATTTTAGGCACAGAGTGGCAGAACAGCATATTCCAGCTGTTTAAGGCAAATGAGACTAAACCCTATCTTCTTTAAGAACAGTTCACAACACAACGCAGAACCGCAAAACAGACTGCCAAGAATCATACCTGTTACCGTGGAAAAAAACACTGATGCTCTGGAGAGCACAGCAAGAGATTGTGGTCAGGGAAAGTTGTGAAGAAATGGAGCTGGGATTCATGTTAGCAGAAACAGATTTTACCAGTGAATGAATTCTAGAGATAGCAGAATTAGTCTGCGATACATATGGCACCTACTAAGTGATCCGGAATGCTATTTGCAAAGTATACCCCAAACAATGTAAGTTTTAATAATCACCGATAAATCACCCAGCACAGGAACTCCCTTCATTTTTAAGGCAGAAGAAAGTGTAAGACTACCAAAGTCTCTTTAACATTTTGAGCCCTCTTCCAATAGAAACCTGCTGTATTCTTCACTAACGAAATGGACAACATAGGTCTAACTCCAAATGTGTGCTCACTAAACAACAGTAAACTCTCTTTCCAATTTTCCATCAGAAGCCATGAAGTTTAGCTCATTTCATGCTTATTATGTACACCTGGTGGTAGATTGTGTATTTTCCTAAATACTTTAAAACAGCGGTAGAAATATATGAAAAATTACATACATGGGTGTTGACTATGAAATATGCACAATTTTACTAGGACACGCTTAGCAAATTATCCTGGCAGAAGCTGCATTTAATCTTAATGTTTGCACACACAAGGAATTGTAGGGAATCTTGACTTTGTAACACAAAACTTACCGTAGCTGAGACTGCAGTTTTCCAGCTTTATTTATAAAATCTTCCCACACTGGGTAACTTCCCTGCAATAAAAACAAAACACAATAATGAATACTTAATTTGAGCATTCTGGTTTTGATGCTTCAAATCAAATGAAACTAGAATTAAAGCAGGAACTAAGACTTTACTAAATCCTAATCCATTAACACCAAAATGTATTTTCCCAGCAAGTTCTCTCACACCCTTAGACACCAGTCCCAAGCAGATGGAACATCCACTGGCTCTGAATCCAGATGAAACAGTAGGTCCTCTGAGGAGGCTTTACAGATTTTCCAAATAGAAACACTGGGGGAGAAGAGGGATTTCAACTGAAAAAACAGAGAAAATAAACACCTTACTTTGGATAGATACAGCAAACCCAAATCTATTAGAAGTGGGGTGCCAGGATATTGCAACAACTCGTACAGAGAAGCTTCCAAAACAAAAGACAGGATCCCAGTTGTTCTTCTCTACAACTGGATTCTCTCTGTCATTATCAGGTTTAAAAAAAAAAAAAAAAATTAAAAGCTTTTACAATAAAGGTCAGAGTTGACCAAGAGACCACCTCAAATACTGTCTCAAGGTAACTCAGCAATCGGGCACAGAAAAGGTACAGGGGCCATAATATAACGAACACTCCCAACAGCCGCCCTATAACTGCAAGACCTGCTTCCAAAACAGTCCTGAACAACCTTGCAGCTGTTTTCTGAATTGAAGCTAATAAAGCAGCGTGGCATTGAGCGTATGCAAAGTTTTTAAGAAAGTTTAATTCTTGACTTCAACTTGCCTGTAAACTTTTTACCCATTTTTAAAAATTGCATTAAAAGCCTAGGTTTCCATTTAGAATATGGACACCAAGTGCTCTTGCAAGTTCTGATCTTTATTTTTCAGTTAAAAGAAAAAGGTGCTGATTTTATGGTGCAAAAAAATAAAAAAAAAATAATAAAAAAAATCACCCTTTTTAGACCAAAAAAGGTTAACTTGCTCTCTGCAGAGCACATGCAAATTTTCTGTTACCAGCAAAAACCAGCGTAGAAAGAAACCTCAAAATTTCCATTTGATTGGAGTCTAGAGAGTAAAATAAAATATCCCTGCTTCCTTTAATAAAGGAATAAGGCTTGCTGTTACCAGAGCAACAACACAATAAAACCCAGATAAGGCAGATCCTCAAGGCTAACATTACCCCAGCTCTGTCTGGAAGAGGTTGCAAGCAAGCGCAGTTGCTTGTAGTAAACTCGATTCACCCCAGTGAACTGGTCTGTTTTCTGCAAGCAAAACAAAATCCATTGCCCACACTGGCATGAGAAGCCACGTCTTGTTCAGGGCAATGACAGTCCCTTCCCCAAAAGTAGCCAGCCAAATTCCAGCCCCTTGGTACACCCCGGCAAGACAGCTCCCAGACATTCACTAGGAAGCCTACTGGTACTCTACATATTTTTCAGCAAGTCTTGTGGGTTTTTTGCTAAAAGAAACAAAAAAGAAAAAGACCAAAAAACCCCAATGTAAAACAGGTGTTCATAAAACCTCATTATACCTACACATGACGGAGCCAAGGGGAAAGAGAAAATAGCAGTTATCTGGGTGGCAAGACCTAGAATATAAAGTGCTTTGTACTATGCAAAAACTGTCAGACATTTAACAAAATGAAAGAAACCCACCAATTATTTGAAAGAGGAAAAAAATTGCTATTTCCTTAAACCTATTAGTCTTACCGAAATTCCCTACTCTGAACCCCGTCAATGTTTGTCTGCATGCCGTATACGCATTATGCATGTGTATGCCAGGAGCCCTGAAAGCCCTGACAATTAACAGCAGGGCCTAAGGCTTTACTGGATTCTGGAGCAAAACGCAAGCCAGCAAGCAGAGGACACCAAAGCAGCCTGATTATGTTTCCATCTCAGTAGTGTATTATCCAGCTAACTGTGCCTGATGGCACGCAGGAGATCGACACCAGCCTTGCGTCTAGCTGCTTCACACGGAAATCACTGGATCACAGAACGCTAGGGGGTTGGAAGTGACCTCAAAATATCATCTAGTCCAACCCCCCTGCCAGAGCAGGACCACCTAGAGTAGATCACCCAGGAACACATCCAGGCGGGTTTTGAGTGTCTCCAGAGAAGGAGACTCCACAACCTCTCTGGGCAGCCTGTGCCAGGGCTCTGTCACCCTCACAGTGAAAAAGTTTTTCCTGATGTTCATGTGGAACCTCCTGTGCTCCAGCTTGCACCCGTTGCCGCTTGTCCTGTCATTGACCATCACCGAGAAGAGCCCAGCTCCATCCTCATGACACTCGCCTTTTAAGTATTTATAAACATTCTTGAGGTCACCCCTCAGTCTCCTCTTCTCCAAGCTAAAGAGACCCAGCTCCCTCAGCCTTTCATCATAACGGAGAAGCTTAAGACATTCCTATCAAAACACAGCTCAGAAAGAAAACACTTCTTTTTTGTGTGTGTGTGGCCACTCTGGCCACAAAGCGAGCAAAATAGGAGTAGTCACCAAGCATACCCACAACTGTTTATTCTTTGTCTTCAAAAATGCTGTTCTCAAGCCAAGCCTACTTAAATAAGCTGTAACAGCTCACTTAATAGTTTGCTATACCTGTTTGGTTGATATCAATGCAATCTCTCTTCATCTGGGCACTCCTACACTAGCCAGAATCACCTGATCTCATTCTGAACAGTAGAAATAGCAGCATTTTCTAAATATGTCACCGCATTAATAACTTGGGTGGTGGGTTTTGTTGGTTTGGGGGTTTTAGGATTTTTTCAATTGTTAAAGAAAACTTTTTAGCAGTTTTGCACCAGTGACACGAATTCCTGCATTATCTGCTCACCTTGCAGTATCTTGGTCTGTTTTCTGCAACTCTGAATTCTCTCTAATAAACTCAGCTGAAAATTAAAAGGAGTTTGTTTTATCCATGTTCAGGTAGAATTTGCTTTTGCTTTTCCCTGCTGAAGCCACATCCGCAAGCTCATCTCCTTCTCGGTGGCACACAACTCAAGTCTTGCACAGAAATTCTGTCCTCCCTTTGAGCTTTGCCAAAGCATGCTTCCACCACCTCCCTGCTGAAACCAAAACCCCCTTGATTCCTACCTACGGCAGAAGTGCACAATGCCGACCACTTCACAGAACCTAGTAACTGTGGGTTTATCCCATCTCCAGCACCTGAGAAGCAAGGAAGCCATTTATTGATGCTTGTGGGAGCAAATCAAGGAGATGACACAAGAATCAAATTAGTGCTGTAAATACTGCAAGGCCCCGGTATCCTGGGAAGCAGCTCCTTCTCAAAGACCTCTTCGTGTGCCACCTTGAGCACGGCAGCACCACTGTCACTCTGTGCCTCACTCCGCATTTGCAGCAATAGCTCTTGCTTTTGGCAAAGTGGCCATCAAGAGAAACGTTAAAGGCGGTGGAAGCCACTCACTAAAAGAGCCACAAAACTTCATCCTTGATTTGACATGTATTACTTTCTCAATTGAAACACAAAGGAACAGCAGGTGGAATTCGACATCTTTGTCTAACAAGTGCTTCTGCAACGTAAAGACACTCTCAAAGAGCAATAACACAGTATTTTTACACGCTGCCTCTCCCAGAGCTTCCTCTGCTCTCTCTGCAATTTCTGATTTCAACTGGCTGATAAAGGAAATCAATTTTCCCCCTTTAAATGTCAGGGTTACTCAGGCCCAGCGTTATCTGTGAAAGCAGCAGGCCTCCTCCACCTCCAGCCCCGCTCAGAGAAGAGCCGCTACAAGAATGTGGGTCACAAATCCTCATTTTAGTTCCTCGTGGGTTAAAATGGAAATCAGTTACAGTGCAGGTTTGTTGAAATGGTTTTCTTGAAAATAGTTAATGGTTTAATCCGGGGACTACTTCCCCCAAAATGACTTTGTGCCCAACTATTTCTTCACCATTGGATGAAGAAATTTGATGTGTCTTCCGCGAAATGGGTGTTTCGCCATTACTGCACGGCACTCCGTGGCACCAAGTCCCCTCACGCTGCTCTCACCCGCCCTCCCACTGAGGCATGTCACCTGTAAGCCGTAACATGCCATTATCCTACCCTATTGCTTAATTAGTCAGTTTATAGGTGATTACTCACCTGATCCCAGGGCCCAGCTCCAGCTAATCTACGCTGAACGCAAGCAGGGAACCACCTTTCTGCCTCAGGGACAAAAAACAAAATGGTGCCTCGTGCCTGTCACCCATGTAGCCAGTCCGCAATTAGGGACATGAAACAACCTTCCCTCAGGGACAGGCACCACAGCGAGTGTTTGAACGGCACCAGGCTGAGCTGGCAAAGCACCTGCAAGTGCCAGACACCAACACCCAGACCCGCAGCATCTGGCCAGACGGCGTCCTCCATAGCTGTGGCTCCTAGGGACGGGTCCTCCCTGCCGGCTGCTGGGGTGGAAGGAGAGGGGGACCACCTCCATTCAGTGAAATCCCCTCTGACACCCAGACCCACGGGCACGGGCAGACGTTTTAATTTTTGCCTGTCTTCCTCACCATTCCAATCTATTTTAAACAGCAATAAATTTCACTTTCCCCAGTCGAGTCTGGTTTGCTCACGACAGTAACTGGGAAGCCATTTCCTTGTCTTTGTCTCAACCCATAAGCTTTTTCAACTTATTTCTTCCCCCGTCCCATGGAGAAGGGGTGAGAGCACGGCTGGGTGGGCGCCTGGCAGCAGCCCACCACAGCTGGGAAGAGCAGGCAGTGACCACTAACAGCAGCTTTGGAAGGAGCATTTAAACCCTGGATGGATGAAGAACTTTTTTTTTTTTTTTTTGAACCAGCACAGCCACCCTACACAAACACAACTCTACAAGAGATCTACCGAAGTTTGTTTTTCTCTTCCTTTCAGGCCAGCAATCCTGCAGTAGGAGCAATAAAAGACCCAGACAAGAAACTCTGCTGTTTCTCAATAAAGGAAGGGTAGACTTGCAGCAAAGGATCATATTTACTGAAATTGCTATTGATTACATCTAATGGCAAGAATAGGAACCCAGATTGTTGTATTTATTTAAGATTACAACTTGAGTAT